AGATTATTATCTCGTTAAATTGCTCCGCAATAATTTCTAGGCTTGAGTATCTTTTATGTTCAGCATTAAGGACAACCGAGGCCTCCTCATGTGCTAAAGGTTGATCTGATCCTCCACGATCACTGCTATTCTGAAGGTGACCGCTTAACCTGGGCCTCCTACAGGATATTAAAAGAATTTTCGTGCCTGGATTTTTCCTCTCTCTGAACTATAACTTTTTTTTCAACATTTGCATTTTTTTTTTCTTCATTTTTCCATTCTTTCGAATCACAAAATAGGTAATCTTTATAAATTGTGATATTTTAAGTTAAATAACTAATTTCAATATTAACAGCTTCAATGAGTAGACTACTTTATAGATCAATATACCGGATGCGGGAGAAAAAGTTTTATTTCAATAAATTCATTAGGATACAAAAATAATAGCTCAGTCAAATTGTAATTTTTCCAAAACAAAATTTTAAAAGTTTATTCCTCAACGGTACCTACCATATGTTTTCGAGGGCGCTGAATCCGAATTTACGGTTCGCTGTCTTGTAGGAGGTCGGCTTCATAGCCAAAAACGCAAAAAATCTGGATTTTTCAGCCCTTTTTTCAGTTTTTTGCCTATATCTCAAAAACTATACGTTTTTTGAAGAGGAGCGTTCAATATAAAATAAAAGTAACTAAAAATTCCTACAAAATGCACCTATTCATCAGCCCTAGAGCTCGGTGAAAAACAATGTTATTTTTTATTTTTTTAAAAAAACGTCTAAAACACCCACTATCATCCCCTGCAACCCGAGAAATAAATGTTGATAAGCCCTTATATTAAGTGTATGTACATTATCATAAAAAATATTTATTTTTTTCCATTTCTGTAGATTCCCTTGTTTTTTACAGAGTACCACCGAGTCCATGAAAGTTCGAAGGGTCTCAGGAATGCGACCTTTTTTTTTTCACCCAGAAACCTTTCTGGAGAAGGGTATTCAGTTAAATCATATACTTGCTTGCGACCATATATCTTCCACAATTACGGCAGCGGCTGCCTCAACTAGAGCACGCTTTTTTTCTTTCTCATGGGCCAGCTGCTGAATATTTTTAAACTAGGACTTATTTATTATTTTGTATCCAGTGCCTTTTAAAGATACAACGTAAGGTTGGCTTGTTGTAATCAAAATATCATGGCCGTATTTATGAAGGAGGTGCCGCCTAATTGGGTTCGGATGCGGATGTAAATCACCTTCAATCTGCTACACCAATTCTTCATTGTAACTTGACATTTTTCGATATTGTTTTCTAGGAAACAGTAAACCAATTCATTAAGTGGCTCTACACGTTGAACTATACTTATTTGCCCAAATTCATCATTTCGGTTTCTCGCAAGTGTTAGCACATTTTCTCTAAAAGCTAGTTTTCTCACAGGGTACACCAAATTGCGTTAAGAGGGAGGTTTTTTCACTTGTTTCTTGGCATAATCCAGAGGCCCCTCCTGTCCGCACAAAAAAAAAGTCGCGTGCAGCACAATACACGTGATAGAAGTGAATACTTATTTATCGATTCGTTGAAGGTGAGTGAGTGAGTGAGAGAGAGAGAGAGATATATATATATTATACATATTACATTAATGCGTTAAGAACAATACTCTCTTTCATTCACCATCTCTTTCTCTCTCTCTCCCTCATATTCATCATATGCTTCATCTCGCTTGCGAGACGAAAATTTTATAAATCGTGCCGTGACGCGACCTTGAAAAATCACTCTCATGCGGCCAAAGAAGTATTCACTTCAAAAACAGTGATTTTTAAACGCAACGTATGGGACACTTGAACGCAGTGGCATTGATTCAGGATTCTCTTGAAACTTCTTTAAAAATGCAGCAATAGCCCTTTCTGTCGTCTAATTTTTTCTACATCTCTCATGAACTTTAATTCCGATGTTCCGCATAAAAAATTCAATTTTATCATCCTGCCCCGTTCCACTGGCTTCAATATATGATTTCATTCCTGTTTCTTTCAAACTCTCGTCTGTGTTCCATCTGCTAACAGTGTGTCACAAATCTGATTGAGACATTTTGCGAACTTCACATAATAACATAAACTACATAAATCGCGCTTGAAACTGAGCTCAGTAGGTTGGCTAACATGTCGTCACGTTTTAGAAACTTTAGAGAAGTTCTTAAACGCTTTTTCACGTTGAATTTAGCTTTTTGTTGATTACTTGTTTATTTCTTGACTTTTGAGACTAAGAGGTGGGACTAGGCGCTTTTCTAAAAATACCAAAAAATCGTTTTTTAGCGAGCTCTAGCACGGGTACCGCTTGTCAGAAAATGAAAGATAAATAATATATTTTGTAGGAAATTTTATTTTCTTTAATTTTTTATACAACGCTCATCTTCAAAAAACGTATAGTTTTTGAGATATAAGCAAAAAATTGAAAAATTTTGACTTTTTGCATTTTTGGCTATGAAGCCTTAGATTATGAAGCCGACCTCCTAAAAGGCAGCAAATAAATTCGGATTCAGCACTCTCGAAAAGATATAAAACCGTTGAAAAAAAAAAAAAAAAACTTCCGCAATTTTGTTACAAAAACGGCAGTTTCAAACACGCATTTTCTGGACTATAAGTTGTTGAACAAACCAGACTAAATAGTTTTATTCATGCCAGAGTGAAAAATAAATTAGCCTTAATTATATCGAACGCCGATTGTCGGCCTACAAACCTGTATAAGCTGATCAATGGTAGGTACATATTTTCGGGCTAATTTTGAGTTTTTGCCAATAACATTGTTCGACGATCAAGCGACCTATTTTTTAGGAGGTATTATATTATTGTTTGGACATGAAACTATTATTTGAAAAAAAAAACTATTATGCACAGTTGTCCAGTTGTTTATTTTGCGTAACTTTGTATATTTTGGCAAGGCTTCATAGAGTAGCAAATTTTTCAAAGAAGTAGATAGTAAAACGAATATTTTACGGATTGAGCTATTAAATAGCTCAATCAAAATATGTAGGTAGTTGTGGTGTTGAAATATGATCATGTCTATAATATTTTTAAATCATATTTTATCGATAGACTCATTGACGTGGACTCAAGAATCACTGGAAAGCATATTTAGACGTATAACTTCATATACTTCTATATATAATTATGGATGGCCATTGAACATTTAATTAAATTATATCTTGAGCTCATTCGCAATAATAAATTATTTTAGGACAAAAAATGAGGCAAAAGTCTTGATTATCAAAATTCTTTTCGATTTTTAAGCAACTAGTTTCGGGATCAAACAATTTTGCATCCCATCAGCAGAATCACAAGCGGATTCAAAAATTACACCAAAAATTGGAATGAGAAATTCTATGAAACTTTTCTTCAATTTTTATTGTAATTTTTGAATCCTCTTGTGAGCTTGATGTTGGGATGTGAAATTGTTTGATCCCGAAACTATAGTTGCTTAAAAATTAAAAAGGATTGTGAGAATCAAGACTTTTCACGTTGAATTTAGCTTTTTGTTGATTACTTGTTTATTTTTTGACTTTTAAGAGGTGGAACTGGGGGCTTTTCTAAAAATACCAAAAAATCGTTGCTTTTTAGCGATCTCCAGCATGGGTACGGCTTGTCATAAAATGAAAGATAAATAATATATTTTGTAGGAAATTTTATTTGCTTTAATTCTTTATAGGACCCTCATCTTCAAAAAACATATAGTTTTTGAGATATAAGCGAAAAACTATATGGCTATATGAAGCCAACCTTTTGCACAAATAAATTCGGATTCTGCACTCTCGAAAACCGTTGAAAAAAAAAAAACTTCCGCAATTTTGTTACAACAACGGCAGTTTCAAACACGCATTTCCTGGACTATAAGCTGTTGAAGAAACCAGACTAAATAGTTTTATTTATGCCAGAGTGAAAAATAAATTAGCCTTAATTATATCTAAGGCCGATTGTCGGCCTACAAACCTGTATTAGCTGATCAATGGTACATATTTTCGGGCTAATTTTGAGTTTTTGCCAATAACATTGTTCAACGATCAAGGGACCTATTTTTTAGGAGGTATCATTTTATTGTTTGGACATGTATTATTTTAAAAAAAAAACTATTATGCACAGTTGTCTAATTGTTTATTTTATGTAACTTTGTATATTTTGGCAAGGCTTCATAAAGTAAGTAGGTAGTAAAAATTTCAAAGGAGTAGATAGTAGAACCGTTGATTGGTAAAACGAATATTTTACGGATTGAGCTATTAAGTAGGTTGATATGAATGTCAATCAAAACATGTAGTTGTATAGTATTGAAATATGATCATGTCTATAATATTTTTGAATCATATTTCAACGATAGACTTATTGACGCGGACTGAGGATCGCTGGAAAATATATTTAAGACGTATAATGTCATATATTTCTATATCTAATGATGAATGGCAGTTAAACATTTAATTAAATTATATCTTGAGCACATTCACTAAATTATTTTAGGACAAAACATGAGGCAAAAGTCTTGATTCTCAAAATTCTCTTCGATTTTTAGGCAACTAGTTTCGGGATCAAACAATTTTACATCCCATCATCAGGCTCACAAGCGGATTCAAAAATTACACCAAAAATTGGAATGAGAAACCTTATGAAACTTTTCTTCAATTTTTATTGTAATTTTTGAATCCTCTTGTAAGCTTGACGTTGGGATGTAAAATTGTTTGATCCCGAAACTAGTTGCCTAAAAATTAAAGAGGATTGTGAGAATCAAGACTTTTGCCAAAGTTTTTTTCCTAAAGATGAACTCACATTTGTATTCAGTTAACCATATATTATTTTATTTTAAGTGAAGTTTTGGAATTTCACTATAATTTAAAATTAATTTTGTTTCAATCTTCCACGATCCGCTGTTATCTCAAACGCAAAACTTTGTTACTTTTTTCATTATACACTGGTGGAGAAAACTAAATAGATCTCAAAATATATTTGACGGTGAAATTATTGATACTGTGTATTTAATATTTCTCTCTATTTCAGGCTTTGCATGGGTCACCTTAGCTACAAATGACTCCTATTCTCTAGGAGCTCTTGTTTTGGCTCATTCTCTAAAGCAGGCTGGAACTGCACACCAATTGGCTGTTTTAGTAACCCCTGGTGTCACTAGTGCCATGAGGTAAGTCAACAAAAATTTCAAGCGATAATTCTTCTAAATTGTATACAATTAATTTTTAAAGTAATTTAGTTAGCTATTAAAATCGAACGGAATAGAGCAAATCTACGAATAAAACATAACAAAAAAGGATACTGGGAAAGATTAACACAAAAAGTAGATAGAAATGTACGGAAACTAGAGAAAGATATATAAGTAACATCTAGAGAGCTGACAAGATGCAAATTTCACTTCAAATGTAATTTATATTAGTTTGGGTTAGTTAAATTACACTCTGTAAATCTACAGAACGAAGTCAGAAAACATAAACATGTAATATATACATATAACAACCTTGTCGAAAAACGAAATAGATCACCGTAATGTCCGACAACCACCTCCGAACAGGGTTCCATAAAAGAACATAACAAGAAAGAACAGATTATGACAAAACAGCATCGAGAAAAAAGAGAGCACTGAAATAAAAGGACCTTGACAAAACAGAACTCTCAAAAATAAGAAAAGGAAAAAATAAAGAATGAAAAACAAACCAAAAAATATCTAGTTATTAAATTGTAATGGAAATTATCAAACTTTTGGAAACTATAAGGGAAATACCTACTTTTATACTAAAGCTCTATTAGACCGTGATATAGGGACTGTTTATTTGAGTTATTTTTTTTCGTCTGGCATCTTGAGGGCTGCATGTGGCTAGTTAGCTGATAAGAACATGGGTGATTTTAATGCCTGCTTCCCGTTCGAAAATTTGGAAAATAAATTTTTATTAACATGAAGCATTTGTTTTTTTATATGATCTTAAATTGTCTGGTTTTTGAATAAAAGATTGACATTGATTAATAATTCACCAATAGAAAAATGCCAGATGCTTTTCAATGGCTGAAAAAGTGGAAATGGGAGTCAATTTGCAAGGGAAAAGTATATATAACTTTCCGTATTTACTGTCTGTTTGGCAATCGGGAGAAGGAAAGGTTTTGTTTTGAAAATAACTTCCCCTGACGGTAATCACAGTTTGAGATCGAGCTTTCTGCGGAAAATTCTGTGGAAATTTCGAACGGGGGGCAGGAGCAGGCATTAAAACCACTTATATATTCTCATCAGCTAACTAACCACATTCAGCCCCTCAAAATGCCAGACAAAAAAAATGACTCCACTAAACAGTCCCTATCTGAGGGTCTATATACCTACTCAGGATTTCGCATTCTTTGGTTGTTTTACTTAATTGTGATTGGTGAAATATTCCGACTAAACTCATAATAAAGTGATAATAGTAAATTTAGTAGCTGATGCCTAATTGCTCGGCGGTTTTCACTGTATTGTTTCCAGTTCACTAAAAGCAAGTTAATTATTGTCGCTCAAAAACTTGGGAGACGTCGTGGCCCATTCTTGTACCTACAAATCTATCTGATAAGCGCTAATAACCCCAGTAAAGGAAGTATACCTACTTAAAGTTTTCCATGAATTATTTTTTTGGAACTTTGTATGCATATTTTGTATGAATATATTTTTCCCTTTAGTTCTGATTTTCCAGAGTTCTGTTTTGTCAAGGATCTTTGATTTCAGTGTTTTCTTTTGTCTTAGTTCTGTTATGTCATATTTCCCTTTTTTCTTTGTTCTATATTATCCAGTGTTCTGTTTTTTCACTGTTCTGTTTTCTCGTGTTCTGTTTTTTCATCTTTTGTTCTTTCATGTCCTGTTCTGTCCGGTTACCCCGGAAAATATAAAATGTTAAAGAAGCAGCAAATAAATTGTATAAATTATGTCGATTAATAAATGAAAAAAAAAAAAAACAAAATACGAGCGTAATGTAGATAATCAATTATTATTTGATTGAATGTCAAATATAGTATGACCCTATGAGGCTTTTCTGATATCAGGCCCCAAAAGAACAAACCATATTATAATCAGACGGAGGGCTGATGTGGCCATAAAGAAAGGATAAGTTGCTTGAAATTTGAATGAGTGAAAGTGCAGTAGGAGCATTTGGTGGTTAGTTGTTTGACTAAAGCATAAGGTGCTTGAAAATTTGTAAAAGTTTTTAATCACCTTTGAAACCTATTTATCAGAAGTGAGTACGGACAACCAGGTGGGAACCAAATTGACACACAGTCGTAAGAGGTAAAAATTATCGAGAAATTGAACAATATCATGCAAGTCCATGCTTTCGCCCTTTTGACACGTACATTATCATCGGCATTTGAAAAATGAAAGCACAGAATGTTTCATCTGGTCTCGAATAGAATCAAAACAAGTAAACAATTCATATTGTTGTGAGTTAGACAAATACAAATCCTTTTCAGACGGTAAATATGGATGTCAATCTACTTATAGCATCACTGGTCGTCAGAGCTTAAGAATAATCTATAATTATACGAATAATTTTCTTCTATAGATTTTTGAAGAAGCTTATTTGAAGACTAAAAATATAACCACAATAAATGTATTTTTCTTTTTAATTTTCAACATACTTAGGTATACTGTTTTTTTTCTCAGGAATTCTCAATTGCTGAATTAAATTTTTGGCAGTTCCTCAGAGATTGTTATTTCCGTGGCGCTTTAATCAGTTATGTAACGAAATAACTTTTTTGAATTTTATCCTTGCTGTTTATTATTATCATCAATGTTTATTGACACCGTTATATTACTTAAAAGAATATCGTTATCTTTGACCTAACTATAGTATTTAATTATCAATAAAAGATATTTTGAATAAATGAATATATTATATATATATACAATATATACAGGGTATGCTAACAAAGAAAAATGATTCACAACGAAATTTTCTAAATGTTAGAAGATACAGGGTGGATCAAATTGGATGTACGAATACATCCTAGAAATTTAAAAAAATCTGATTTGCTTCGGGGATATCTGAAAATAAACATTTCGCAAAATGATCTTTTTATTAGGGTAACTATTTCCCCTCTACTGATTCGTGCTGCCAAATTTGAAATCTGCCGTTTCCTAGTCTCGTAACCTTCGTTAACTTAATTTTGGTTTCAGAAGAACCTTGGATTTTAAATTTGATGTTTTGCTTTCTTCCAACCTTTTTTTGTTTTAAATAACTGACATTTTTGTCATTCATCATATCATCATAAGCGATCACTCGATACTGAGTATGTTTATCTCCTATTCTATTTCTATTATCCTTGATTGTGAGTTTTCTTATGGCTATATAAACCAATTCTGGAGCCGCACACTCTTCGACAGTCCTGGCACACCCAGCCTCTATGGAAGCAGGAAGCATTGTGTCTTCCTCTGTTCTCTCGCTCCTTCCTGCGGTCCCTCTTTTCGATCTCGTGTCTGCGTCGCTGTTCTTCAAAAGTTTGTGATGCGTCGTGGACTTCTCGACGCCATGAAGGCCTATTATTAGCCGTTGTCTCCTAGTTGATGGTATCGATACGGCCATATTTTCCTTTAGAACATCTTTGTAGCATTTTTGTTGACCTCCTTGATTACGTTTTCGTTTTTCAGTTGACTGTAGAGAATCTGTCATCGAAGACGTATTTCGGTCATGCGGACGAGGTGTCCAGGGAAGTTGCTGCTTAATGATAAGGGCTTCCATGCTAGTTGTTTTGGCTTTCTCTATAACACTAGTGTTTGTTCGTCATTCTTACCATTTAATCCGTAGGATTCTTCTTAGGTACTGGTGGTGGTATTTTTCTAAACTGTTTATGTGTCTTCTCTAGGTGGTTTATGTTTCGCAGCCATTTGTTAGTGTTGGTATTACAACTGCATTGTAGACGCGAAGTTTGGTCTCAGCGCTGTTGTCATGATTCTTGCAGACTTTCTAGAAGTCGCCCGAACACCGCGATAGCACACTTCAAGCGATGCTGGATTTCAGCATCAATGGTTGCATTCGCTGACAGATGGCTCCAAAGGTATAGGTAGTGTTCTACATTCTGCAAAGAATGGTCATTTATAGTTGTATTTCGGAATTGGCAATTAGTATCCGGTGCGGGTTGGTGCAGAATCTGCGTCTTGTTGAAGTTGACCTCTACTTCGACTCTCTTTTATGCCTGGTTGAATGCATTGATAATTGTCTAACAATCTTCGTCAGTATTGGCCATCGTGACGTTATCATTCGCATATTGAAGTTCAATTATCGATGACGTCGATACATTTGTCTTGGCTGGTAATCTGTTTAAGTTGAATAAGCCGCCATCAAGTCTGTACAGGATTTCCACTCCTGACGGCAGGTGACTGTCAACAAGGCAAAGTATAGATCCTATAAATTGAGATAATGAAATTGGTGCAAACAGCCCTGTTTAACGCCTGTAGTTATTTGAAACGACCCTCCTTGTCTATTGTTACTTAGGACGGTTGCATTAATATTATCATGCAGCAGGACACCCAAGCTTCGCCAATATATTCCAAAGACCTTACCTGTTGACCGAGTTAAATGCTTCCACAAAATCTATGAAGGTCATAGAGAGCGATTTTGTTCCATGTATTTATCTTGCATTTGTCTTGCACTGAAAATCATGTCAGCTGCACCTCGGTTGGGTCTAGAAACACACTGTGTCTCTGGGAAGTTCTCTTCGGCAGTTGGGATTGAACGAGTCGATAATATCTTGGCAAGTATGTTTCCCGCAACAGAAACTACAGTTATTCCTCTGTAGTTTCCACACAGCCCTGTCTCTCCTTTTTAAAAATGTTAACTAAGGACTTATGGAGACATCTCTAAGCTCGGCAGGTTTGCTCTCAGTAATCTATATTGTACTTATTAGGATGTGGGTTTGGGCGCACCTGGTGTAAGGCCTCCTTGTTTAAAGAATTCAGCAGGAATGCCGTCACTACCAGATGACAGCTGACTTATTGTTCTTTAGTTGTCTGATTGCGTTGTCAACATACTTTAATCTGGGAACCTCGTTCAGTTCTTGTTGATTTAGTTTCTGTGGAATTTTGTTGAAGATGTCATATTTATTTGTGATTCTCTGTTAAGTAGTTCCTGAAAGTGTTCCTTCCAAGTTGAATTAATGGAAGATCTGTCTTTAAGCAGTCTTGTGCCATCTTTGGATCGTAAGGGATTGAGTCCTTGAGTGGTTGGCCCGTCTACTATCTAAGTAGCCTGAAAGAAGGCCCTGGTGCTGTTGGATTCAGCTAGTTGCTACATTTCGTTCGATTTTGTTATCGATTATTGGTTCTTTAATACTCGCGTTTGCCTTTGAGCTTCTTTCTTTTTTTTCTTATCCTAAAAGAGCTACATGATATTTTGCCGATAACTTTAAGGAAGAAAACAATGGACAGTTGGAATAGATGATATTGGATAACAGTTCATTTACAAAAATATTTCGGACAAACATATTTCTTGTTCACGCCATCTTATCGTTTATTTGTCCTTCATTCTTGAAATAAGCCTACATCATAAGTAAACATTTATATCTATCAATGAAACATTTCTGATATAAGAAAACAATATAAACTAATGATAATGATTCAATTCATCATATTAGCATTGTTCTTAGATTTTATAATAGAAACTCTTTTTATATTATCTCATCATTTATTCAATCCTTCTGGTTTGCCTACCCTATATCACGTTTTTTGATGCTTATCTTGTTAACGCAAAGTGATACCTACTAAATATTTACCATTTTTTAGAATAAACCACAATATTCCTCATACCGATCAACAAATTTCCAATACCTATTTTATTCTTTCTAGGGAAAAATTGGCCAATGTATTTAACGTAGTCCAAGAAGTCAACATTCTTGATTCAAGAGACGAAGCTAACTTGCGACTCCTGAAGAGGCCCGAATTAGGCATAACATTTACGAAGTTACACTGTTGGCGGCTCACACAGTTCGAGAAATGCGTATTTTTAGATGCCGACACTTTGGTACGTGCTAAAACTATATTTACAAATTTTAATGCTACTTCACTCGACATTGGATAACAAAATGAACATAATCTTAAGCTTACTTCTAAAAATATTATTTGAATGGAATCAGCATTTTTTTTTTGTATTAGGAACTTAACTTAAAACATAATACTTCATTTATCTAATTATTTTCCCTAAAAAGTGGTGCACCCAATTATACAAATATAAGCACCAGATATGGATGGTTACGATAAAATTGTATGCCTTAGCGGCATGTTTGGGACATAATCATTTTATTGTGGTGTAGTATCTGGGGTTAATTCTTCGCACAGGTTTTATAAATTATTTCCAATTTTAGGTATTACAAAATGCCGACGAACTTTTTGAACGAGAAGAACTTTCAGCAGCCCCAGATGTGGGATGGCCAGATTGTTTTAATTCTGGCGTTTTCGTATATCGTCCAGCTCTTGACACGTTCGAGAAACTCGTTCAATTTGCTCTAGAAAAAGGAAGTTTTGATGGTAGGTCAATTGTTTTAGTTAAAGTATAAGAAAACTTATTATTTCATAGGGACTGAAATAGATTGTTTTTTCGTAGTCGCTTTTCCAGCCTTTAGCCATAATGTTGTTTTACAATACTTACTGCGCAGTAATAATATTTGTCAACTTTTATTTTTAAACTTGTTTATTGCACTATTTGTCAACTGAGATATTGTAAATAAAATACTTTCAGGCAATTTTGCATGACACATAATAACACTGAAAATGTTTGCAAACCTTTGAGGATGTAAATTATGTGCGAATTTCGTAGAAAGCATGTCAGACAAATAATATTTGGATTGTCTGTTCAATGTTTCTGAAATTTTTGGATTGATCTTTTCTCATACATAGTCGCGTCGCTGGAAAGTTTTTTTTTTTTTTAAGCCAACTTTGAAAAAGGGTTCTCCTACTTGGACATTCAAATTTTCTAAATATATAGGCCCAACTGAAAATAAATAATATGCCGGATAAATAGTGATGTTTATAACAATCTAAATTGCTATTTAACTAGAAGTTAAGCTTTAATCGAGTAATATGCCATTATCGCGATATTTCCTTTATCAACATTTACAATAGTTTTGATAATAACAACCTGAATCATAATTTCAGGATGGTATACAGGGTGTCCCAGAATATGTGGGCAATCTCTCGGATTCAGATAGAACACAAAAAAATAACATGAGAACTTCTTATAAAAAAAAAAATTCCTACGGCCCCCCCTACGAAGTTACGTGCCCCTGAAGGACGCCTCTGAAAATCGGTTTTTTGTTGATAACTTTCAGAATACTTCGTGTAATTTTTTAAAATTTTAATATGATGGATACTAGATAAGACCTCTTAAAATGGACCCTTTCAAACACACTTGGCAAATCTAGTTTACCAGGGACGGACTAACACTAACACAATAATGCTAATTTTTTTTACACCCTGTATGATATAGGCATAGCGATAATATTTTTAGATTGTTTCAACCTTGAACTAGAAAAAAGGTACTCTTATTCGATGTCAAAAAAATGAGCTGTGGTACAAATTTCTATAATGTGTTTGAAATCCCACACATTTTATGCTACAAACAAATAAATTATCTGAATGAAAACTTGAGCAACTTAACAGAATGTACCTAACGCGTAAATTTCGGCGCAAGTATTCAAAAGATTAGGGAACTTATGAATATGAAGTATCTGAATCTCATGATTATATTGTTGACAAATTCTATCAAAGTGTATATATTTTTTTCTTAGGTGGAGACCAAGGACTTCTCAACTTATATTTCTCAGACTGGGCACATAAGGACATAAGCAAACATCTTCCATTTATCTACAACATGTGCTCAACTGCCTGCTACTCGTATCTTCCGGCTTTCAAGCAGTAAGTACCAACAGCTACTTCTCAAAATATTTTCAAACCCGAACTTATGTTCTCAGGTTTGGAGCCCACGCCAAAATTATTCACTTCATCGGTGCCCAAAAACCATGGCTTCAATATTTTAATACTGAAACCAAAAAAGTGCAACCTTCTGGCGATTCTTCTCATTTACAAGCAGTCCTACAACGCTGGTGGGACATTTTCTGCACCCTTATCCATCCACATTTGTCACCTGCAATGGTATGTAGTAAGACATTTGATGTTTATTACTAATTACAAAAACATAGCAACATAAAATAATTCATATTCTGATGTTATTGAAATCCAGAAATTATCAAAATAATTCTTCGTAAATAATATAGTTATGTGACTGTTCTTTCTACAAAGGTAGTTGTATATATTGCCAAAGAAAAAAATTATATTTTGTCACAACTAAATCATTTGAAATTTTCCAAGCCTACACAGAAATTTGTAAAAAGTGATAATATAAGTAAGGTGAGTCTCAAAAAAACACATGGTTGCTGTATAGCTGCCGGCAATGCTATTTCATGTTCCTATAAAAAAAAGTGGGTGTAAACTATTTGAATTATTGTCTACACATTGATTTTATTCTAGGAAAATTGTCGAAAAATGCATGCATTGCAAAAAAAAAAAAAAAAATCCTACTCAAATGAACTTTTCAGGGATGATAGGGGCCGGGTGGGTGATCATAAAACCAAAGATATCACACATGCACCCCTCAGGCGTTTTGCGCTGTAGGGGTTTAAAGTGCGCCGTTGGCGATTACTTGGTACCTATTGATTTTACAAAAAAATGTTTCAAATAAAAGATGTGCAACATTATTTGATCTACAATGTTTATCCAAAGACTTTTTTGATTAAGGGCCGTCTGTGGTCATAAGGGCCATCTGAAATTTATAATGGAATTTTTTTTTTTATAACCAACGTGAAAAAAGTTTCTACAACACATAGGTACAACGTTTTTGCTTTATGAAGTTTTTACTCACCCTCTGCCGTTTTTCAATAGGGGTAGTTTAAAGTTTTTTAATTTTTTCACAAAATTTTTTTTTTACATTTCCTACAATTTTTCCTCAACTTTTTTTGTAACTCATTCCCATTCAGCGGGATGGGGGGGGGGGGGAGAAGGGGCGACACACGTTGATTAAAAAAAAAAAAATGTTGTACCTACATCTTTTATCTGAAACAATTTTTTGTGCAACCAATAGGTACCAAGTAATCGCCAATGGCGCACTTTTAGCCCCTATAGCGCAAAACGCCAGAAGGGTACATGTCGTCGTTAATTTCACTAATGGGCGTATATTGATTTTCTTAAATTTTCGAGCATATAATATGATATACGCCTTTTAGGAAGATGCATATTTCTTGTTTCAAAACATACGCCTTGAAGAAAAATGTGAATAACTCAGAAACTACTGGCAGTTCATATGCGCCAATTAGAGGGCGTATAAATTTGATGTTTTGCGACATAAATTCCCTGAAAACGAAAAATCGTCTATTTCTCATATACGTCCCTTTGTCAAATTAACGACGATGTGTGATATCTTCGGTTTTATGATCACCCACCCGCCCCCTATCATCCCTGAAAAATTCATTTGGGTAGGATTTTTTTTTTTGAAAATCGACAAGAGACCTAGACTATTCTCTATGTAAACAATGTAGACTATGTCAAAAAATATTGTAACACAAACATTTACTCTTCTGTAAAATGAATAATAAATTTCCAAAAACAAAAATAAACAATAGTCCAAAGTAAATCGCCTTATGTTTCTTCATCTTCTTTATTAACCTGAAATTAAGCTTATTTTTGGCCTGCCTGGCAACGACATTATGAAAAATAAAAATATCCAATGAACCACCCATTTTTGTTTTCAGGTTTTCTTTTTTTTTTTTTTTTTTGTAAAACATCAAACTCTCAACTATCGAGCTTGTCTACATTGTTTACGCTTTGTTGATATTGTTTAACGATTGTTGACATTATTTACCTATTGCTGACATATTTTACATTGTTGACAATTTGTTTACCTGTCGATGTAGACAAGACTGGTATTTATCGACTTTTTATAATGTGAACAATATGAAATATCGTTGGAGGGAACTATACTTTTTGCACTTTTTAGTTGTTTGATTTGTCTTGCCTTTTTATTGTGCTAAGGTAGTCGACTTAAGAAAAATTTGGTATGTATAGTTTGAGTTTGGCATGCTAATTTGTGTGTATATTAGCAAGAGTGATAAAACTTCTAATAAAATGTTGGAAATGTAGTTTTTGAATTAATGGCAGAGAAATCTCCCTTATTATAAACCATCTTCCTAACATGTGTATTATTAAATTGTGCAGAATTCTTGGAATGACACCGCTGAAATTTTAATTTATTACAAAAAACCAAATTATAAAAAAAGGTGCATTGTTTTTTTTTATGTTTTTATATATTTTGCACTATGGCATGATCAGCATACACATGTATTTGTATTTGGAGTTTTAATTGGCTTTTCAATTTTTATTTGCTCTGCCTTTTATTTTGTGCACTTAATAATTCAATATCGAATGCTTCTTTTAATAATTTTATTTGAACACTAGATTGTTTTAATCTTTTTTCTTTTTGCATGCCTTTGTTATCTCAGCCTGATCAGTCGCAGCACGGAATGAGTCCATCCTATTTCCCACCACAATATGATCCTCCCCCTAATCCCGTAGCTTCTGCGGATTACTACGAAAATGCGTGGGATCCGTGGGACGAATATGATAAGAAAATTGCACAAAATATTCATTATGCTTCGGCGCCCACTCATTTTAATCAACATCAGCCTACTGAATCTCAAAATACAAATGCTAGTAATGTTGCTAATCAGCCCACCATTCATCATAGTCAACCGCAGATGCCTAATCATAATACATTCTCCATACAAAATAATAGTTATTATCAACCACCTGCTCCTCAAGCAAGTTATCACATGCCTAGGGTGCCTACTCCACCACCTTTTCCTAATACAGAGTTACATGACCAACAACAATACTATTCGCATTCTCAACCACCATCTCAGCCTACTGAGCCTCATATAGAAATCCATTATTATCAAGAACATCATCATAATCACCCCCAATATAATGAAAATAGAGAAGAAACATACTCTGACATTAATCGAGTTCCTGAGCGCCCTAGGTCTCCTCCTCCTAATCCTGATCCTATTGCACCAAAAGAATGCAAGCCTACAAGTACCAACTCCAACATGCCTCTGAATAGTACTATTGAAGATAATAGTAAGCACGAAAATGTAAGTATTTTTTGTGTGTCACTAATATTTTAAATTAACAATTATATCTTGTAAATAATCATCTTGTAGCAAATTAAGTAAAGTTTGATTGAAACTTATTGTTGGTTGATACGATTATTGTTTTGGATGTCGCAATGTATTATTGATAATGAAACTAGAACTTTTTATTCGATATAAAATAAAGAAAGAAATTTATTACCAATTTTTTTTGCTATATTGCTGATTAAATTTTCTTTATTTTAGGCTGGTTTGGCAGCAGCATTCTCTCAGTTGACTTTGGGCGTGCCAAGGACTACAGAGCAGGACGCTTTTGAAAACGTTCTTAGAAAACAAGCCTGGGAAGTTGGCAATGTCGACTATTTAGGAAAAGATTCATTTGAAAATATTTGGGAAAAAATATCTCAAACTTTAAGCTCTGAGTCTTCAGAAGGTCCCCCACCTCCAGAGCCTAAGCCCGCTCCTGCCGAAACCCAAAGCCAAACAGGTGTGCAAAAAAGTTAAAGCCAAAAAAGCCAGTTTAACTTATCCTGCCTTTTCGAGTGTTTTATTTTTCTCATTGAAATAATTATTTTCCTTTGGCTGTCATTATTAGTACCTACTCAATCACTTTTTGCATGGTGTCATTTTCAAAAACTCATACATTAATCAATCATTGTTTTTGCTTGCGCATTGCTTTTGCTCATTGTTCATTATCCTCATAAATAAATTTAAAAATATGTAATTTATTTTTTCTCTTTTCTAATGCTGCTTGGGATAATATAGATTTACGTACTAAAGCTAACCAGGAAAAGAAATTAAGTCGTCCGTCAGGTAAATCAAAATCAACGAGCAAGAGATCGTCGTAGTCAAATTTATTAAATTAATTTATTGTTATCAAAAATTTGGTTAATTCTTGAATAAATATATATATATTAATTGGTTAAATTTTGTATTTTGAAATTTCAATTTGATTTCAATCGGAAATTAAAATATTATTGGCATGTAAAAATAATATTTATATACTTAATAAATCTTTTTCCATATTATTTCTAGCTTTGTTTTTTGCATAGTCACGTCTATGGGAAATCATTTGAATTTAAAATATTTGGAGGTAAATGCTTCATTTTTTATGACGATTGTCATTGGTAGAAATGTCCATTCAGTTTTTTATATGGTAGCTTAAATAATGATATTATACCTATGTATGTTTGCTGTACCAAAGTTTGCTGTACCTACATGAATTTCCACCAATATTAACAATGCTTCTGCCTAGATTTTTATTAATTACAGACTTTTAACTTGAATTTTGTGGTATTGAGATTTGAATGTAATATTATTACTACTTGCAAATGTGTTTTGTATTTCTCCACCAACAAGCAGCATGACAAAAAACGGCTTATTAATACCTGGAACCTAATGATTGAAGCTGCTTTTGCTTATAAACTTGGCCTAACCAATTCATTTATGGGTACTGATGAAATGACTGTTTACAGCCCCGCAAGAAGAGGCTCCCCAGCCTCCAGTATCTCCCCCAGAAATACTTACCGATAAATCTTCTCAAGATTCACCTAAAATTGATTCTTCGGAATCTAGTTCCCCCGTAGAAGTTAACAAAAAACCCCGAATTTCCCCTGCTACTGAAATAGTTCAGACGACCTCAACCCCAGATCAGCCAAACATTGAAACTGTCACTTCTACCGATAAATCAGAACTACCTACTGATCCAATTAAAATATCTGAGGATCCAGTCAAGGCACCAGCAGCACCAAAACCTGAACAAGTTACAGAAGCACCTTCACAAGTTGAAGAAGAAATAAAATCAGCACCAGTTGAGGAGTCTGCTCCAGTAGATTCGAAACCTGCGCCAAGTAAAGATGAGCCACAACCAGTTCAAGAAGTATCACCAGTAAAATCCAAACCAGAAGCTCCTTTAGAATCAAAATTATTAGAGGAAGAACCACTACATGCTGCTGTGGAAGCAGCAGTAGATGAAAAAGTAAGTCCTAAAGAAGTTGAATTACCTGCTTTAGATAAACCTTTGGAAACTGGTGAACCGAAAGAACCACCTAAAAAAGAAGAAACTCAAACTGAGCCCAAACCAGCACCAGTAGTAGCTGGCGTTGACACTGCTCAAGCACCTACAGAAGTGGTTTCAGACCCAATATGTCCACTTTTACCAAAAAAAGACTCACCCGAGGAACTTAAGGAAACTGCTGGCGCAGAATTAAAACAACCTTTACAAGAAACTGAACAAACAGAAACACAAGCTTCGCCAGAAACTAAAGAAGCAGCACGAAGCGAACCACCGAAATCAGAAACTTCAGCTGCCGTAGAAAGGCCTGAGGCTATCACACCTAGCGAAACTCTTGCCGCTGCTGCGCCCCCAGAATTAGATATCTTGAAAGCATCTGCCTCCCCGAAAACAAAAGTGACTGAACCTACCCCGCCAACAACTCCCAGTACTCCCCCATTGGACAAAACAAAGGTAGCATTGTCAGCCGAAGCAAGTGTCCCTGAAACACCTCCACCAAGTGAGGGAGGTTCCACACCCACACCTCCACCTAGAAAGACTGACAAGCCAAAAAAAGCAGCAGCTAAGCCAAAGAAATGAACAGCTGATTTCGATTCACTTCTGGTTTGCCATTTAAATTATTATTGTTTAGCCCGTGTGATTAAAACTTAAGTAATCGATGTTTTACTATTAATTTTTTTTTTTTTTAGGTTTGATAAAAAACAAATATTTTACTAATATATCACACTGACTTTCTTTTGTCTGTTTATATTAATAAATGAGATGATTTTATAATAACATTAGGATTTTTCTTATTTTACCAAAGGTAATATAACGCACCCACGATTGGTTACATTTGCGTGCGTAGCTTGTAATGTCTTCGGGACATTTGTCAACTTTGGATAAAATCTGAAGGATTGGTTGCAGAGCTGGCAAAGATATCTACTTATTAGCCGATATCCAACATACTCGTTGCATTTTTGCTACAATTATTGGGGCTTGGGGCCATACATAACCTCAATTTTGTTTTGAGGGAGTTTAAATTTTGTCCCCGAATATAGTTTCCAAACGTGCTCATAATCAGCTGCTTCTGAACTGTAGGAGATTCTGATTATCACATTCACTTAGCCCAGCCAATTTTAATAATTAAACTTGTTTTGCATTAGTTTTGGCAATGCCTGTTTCCGGTCGATTATGTAAATTTTTTCGATGAAAAAAGTCTTCAAAAATGAACAGCAGTGAGTGTTTTGCCATTTCACTGATCGCGATAACTTTGGTGTCAAAGTAATAATAAATAATAGATTGCATTTGTTGCAGCTTGTTTCAGCCGCTCAAGCACGGCTACCTTTCTAGATATTTTGTGCATGACTCTGCTTCTAGTTGGTGTCCAAGATTTGTAGGCTAGGCTTCTCCCAAAGGAGGCCAACTTCCTGAGTCCTTATTCTTGAAACAGGGGAGCAGCGTTCCCCCTAGAATGAGTTTTCCATCTTTGTTACTTATATTATCATTTGCATATCATTGAGAAAGACGGAACGCTCGTTCTCCTGGGAACGCTGCTCCCCTGTTTCAAAAATAAGGATCCTGGGTGGTGAAGTGCTCACCTCTCGGGGTGTTAGCTAGCCGTACCCCTTTAAGGTATTTCAGCCTTTTGCAGAACTGAGCAGGGCATTCACAGATTAAAATGTTCAGTAGTTTCTGTTGCTTTCGGGCAAGATCTGGAGTGGTCGTTGTCTGATTTGCTCATTGTTTTTAGGTGATATTTCACCAGGCAATTTCCAATGACTTTTCTAATGTCTCTTCTGTTTATGTCAAGAAATTGTTCAGATCCCTTTGCTGAGATGAATATGAACCTTTTCGCCTATCTCAGACATGGAATTGATCTGCAATGAGCTAGCATTCGGTCCTTTTCCCATCGTTTCATTTCTTCGGAGACGTGACTTTTCATTAGTCCACAAAAACGCTCTGGGCCTTGAAAAGGTGTTAAAGCGCCGTACTTTGCGAGACGGTTTGCCTCCTCTTTGCCCTCTATGCCTCCATGTTCTGGCACCCATACCTATCAAGGTTACTTTGTTCCCAGCCAGTTGCTTAAGGATATTTTTACCCTCTCAAACTAGCTGCGAATTGTACCTGATGGCTCCTAGAGCTTTTAGAGCCGCTTGACATTATGTAAATGTGATCTATAAAAAGGCTTCTTTTAAGGCACTATTGGGCACAGATGTTTATGGACATTACCTCAGCTTGAATGATATTGTGGGCATTTCACCTATTGCTAAAGAGAGTTTGAAGTTTGGTCTAGTTATTCCTAGACGAATGCCTCTCGTTAGCTTCGAACCATCTGTGTATACCACAAAGATGCGTTGTCCGCTTGCGTTAGCTTTGCATTCTTCCATGATTGGCGTTCTATCACAACCACTTTATATGGAATGTCAAAGTCCAGTGATGTTATCATATGATCTGTTAGTTTACTTTGGCATGCGAGCTTCAAAGATTTAAGGATGCATAAGTGACCATCCAGATGACTAGGTTTGAATCTTTTTGTCTGGAATAGCCTCATCTATTCTTGCCTCTTTTTTCACATATGGGTGAAGAGGAGGTATGTTCAGCAGTGCTGTGGTGAAGCAGGTTGCATAGCCCCTGTTATTCCTAGACAAATTATTCTTTGTGCTTCACCTAGACTGTTCTGTGCAGTAATTTGCTCAGTCTTTGGCCCCCATACTAACGGGGCGTAAGTGAAAATGGTTCTGACAACCGTTTGGTAAATCCAATGTACCATTTTTGGTCTTATCCCCCATGTTTTTCCTACGAGTTTGCGGTATTTCCAAATGGCCGCCGTGATATTGTCTTTTTCAGATGGTTGGTTCAAGTAAGTTTGCGGTCCAGAGTGACCTCTAAATACTGCACGTCAGCCGATTGAGTGACGTTTAGTGGAACTAAGGTTTTTTGCTGGGATTTATGAAAAGTCCTTCTTCCTCGGTCCAGTTTTTGATTATATTCTATTCAGGGCACTTTGCATCCAGCTTCCGCCTACTAGTAGTAGGTACCTACTTTTAAATCAAACTTAAAAGTTAGAAATATGCTTAAAGGAGCTGGATAAATGCCTGTGATATTTTTACAACGTCTCATTATAGGATATCACATAGCAAAAACACCACCAAGTAAGTATTTTTTTATTTTTTATTCAAATTGATAACCAACAAAACAATAGAAATGTAACAAAATGGTAGATGGACAATTCAATTATGTTCAATTTAAATCGAGGTCGCTTCAATTTCGCAAAGCTTATAAACTAAAGTTTTTTTTTTATGTCAATAGCTACCCTAAAACAACGATTGCTTAGAAAAATTATATGTATATATTATGTTTGTTGTAATACTATGATTATTCATTACATGAATGATTACGTTTTATACATGTAGATACATTGTAATGAACACATATTTAACAATAATAAGGTGTGCATTTCAAATTACATGTATCTACATTAGGTTAAGAAATATATTAACATTAAAACTCAACTAAGTATAATTTTTTTATTAGGTAAATATTTTTTATGCCCAAATTCAATTTATGTGTCAGACACAATTTTATTGCCAGTTTTTTTGCCTTTGTAGATTTCTGATAACACTTTTTAGTTGAATTTAAATATTAAATTTTCTTAAAATTGCAAAAATAACCAAAGCAAAAATCTTATACAGTCATGTGCAAAATGTTTCTTTTGTGTTATTGAATGTGTTTGTTTTTTTTTTTATCACTCCCTAAAAAATTTTCGACAAATTCGATTATGTGGTTGTTATTTGAAACGACTGTATATTTTTTTCTTCTTAATTTACTATAATTTTACCACAACGCAATTGTGTAATAGAGCTAAAGATGCATCAATCTGCTTTAAATGTGTTATTTATTGGAACGGCATTCGTTATATCTTATAATTATATTAGTTTCATAAAATGCGTCATTTTACGCAAAATAAGATAATAAATTGATTTAAGCCAAAAATCGGTGCCATCTAGGAACCAACTATTGTATCAAAAAATATTATAAAATTCAAAAACAAGTTTGCTATTTTTTGAGTTGCCTTATTGTCGCCCCAATTTCATGTTATTTTTTTTGGAATGACCGTTTTTGCCTTAAATCTCAATCGTGATAAAAAGGGTTAAAAAGTTGAACAATAAAGCTGCGGAGCTAAAAATATTTTTATTAGCGATTGCCAGTATAAATATATTATGTATCACTTTGCATCTAGGATTTTGAGAAGCTTCTGACATTCACTAATATGGTATTATAAAGAACCAACAATACGAATATATTTTATTATTTCAGAATTTATGCTGCTTTTTAATTTTTTTTTTTTTTTATGTTAATGCAAATTTGAAAGGGCAATTTGTATATAAACTAATTTCGAATATAATTGAGATTTCATTTAATGCTTTGTGAAACCACTGAAACCATTAAAAAGCATTTGTGCTTATCTGAAAGAATAGTTATATTTTGATAAAAATTATTTCAATTGTTGGTAACTTTATGTATATTTCATAGATCTCTCCCAGATTTTTCCAACCCCGAATACATTCCATCCATTTTTTTTTAGTACACAATCTAACAAAACTTAATTAATGTAATTATTCTTCTACAAAATGAACACACAGCCTGATACTGCCAGGAATTATTTATATATTATATTATTATATCTTTATTATCAAGCAACAAAATTATTTACACGTTGGTCTTCAGGAATTATTTATTTTAACAGTAGTAGCGAGTCCTATCAACATTACCTATGCCAAAAATCTGAGTAGATCGAAGAAATTTAGGCAATGATCACCATAATCACTTTTTTTTTTCTTCATTTGTTAACAATTATTTTCATTTTCCTCAGAATATAGAAATTCTGGAGACATTCTGTCATAGCTTCCATATTTCGGATACGTTTTTGATCCCTCATAACGTTTTTCTGTTTTTATTCAAAACACCTGCATCTTGATAAAAATGTTTCTTGGTTTCTTGAATTTATTTATTCATTTATTTTAGACAAATTTATTCAAGTTTTTTTTTTTTTATTTATCAAAATTATTGGGTTTGATCGTCTGTAGTCGTTGCCTAAATTATATATATTTTTTATTAAGTAAGTATTCAATTTAAAACTAATGTTTGGGAATAACTATAATTTTCTATTGAATACTTCAAGTATTTTAATCTATCATTATCATAAACTTCCCAAACCTATAATATTTATATAAAATGTTTAACAATAATATACGAATTATTTAAATGTTATTTTTTTTTAGAGAAATAAGAAATAACAGCTCTTGTTTTATTAAATTTTGAGTTACTGAATGATGTATGAGTGACATTTTATTGACATTCTAAGCAAATTAGGAATGATTCAAAAAAGCACATCTTAATAATAAATAATTAATTTACATTGTATTACATATTTTGTGCTCGTTGAGTAAAAACGTGCTTCTCTCGAAAAAAATGTCACACATACGGTGATGCGTTCATTAAATTTTTTTTTATTACATGAGGCATACAAACATGTTATTTAATTTTTGCAAAAATTATCCCATCGCCCCTCCCCGCTAGCGGTCCATGTAGCATGTGAAGTTTGATTATTAGCAGTTGAAGAAAGCACCATTATACATACATATTAATAAATAATGTTTTTTTTTATCAATTAAATTAGTGTTTGCTTGTCGAGGCAATTTCACATTAGATGCAAATAGGCTTTTGATAAAATATTATATAAGTATATAATGAAGCTATACAGTTCAAAATCACCTTCAGGTAGGTATATTTTATTAAATGAAAGCAATGAAAGTGTAAAAGGAAAGCTTCTGGCTTTACCCATTGGGTAGTTTTGCAAAGTATTTGAGTTTTTGGGCCACGAGAACCATTACAAAAATGTAAGATTTTCAAAATTCAAAACAAATTACTTCGACAAGCAGTTAATAAATCTTTATAGAATACTCTTCAACTTGACGGAAATGCCATAATATCGCAACATCTGCTAAGTTGTGCATATTATTATAGACTTTTTTCTCAAAATATTTTGTCCCTTTAATCATTAAAATTGAAAGCTGGTACCCTGAATCGGCAGCAAAGAATATTATTTAGAATTGGAGGTATTTTGGGAAACAATACGTCCACGTATTCTGCCTAGACATTTGTACTTTTTTCTTCGCTCTAGGATCTGTAAAACTGTAACGCTGACCGGTCCAGGTTTTTTTTTTTTTTTTGAGGAATGTGCTGTAGCGATAAATACCAAACAGTGCTGGCTGAACATATTCTAAACTGGATTTTATTTAACAATATTTTTAATTTTTTATCCATAGAATTCTTTCTTCAAGTGATTAAACACTTTTCAGAATTTTATAGGGTTTATCCTAATAATTTCAACGTTTTATTTTGTCAGGAATTTTAAAACCAAAACCTTGAAATAGTATTAGTTATTAAGAACTTTTTATTGCATTTTGTTTTGCTACTCCAAAGGATATTAATTTTGACTTCCTTTGATTCCTTTTCCAAGTCTCAAAAATTTTGGTTTTGGTTCCGATCACAACCCAGTTCTACTAGCTACAAACAACTCAAGTATTGAGTATATTTTTATAACTTGGTACTAATATCAACCGAATATTATTTGTGTAAATGTTGTTAACGGTTATAGAACTGTTTTTAATGAGTGGAACCAAAAAAAAATATATTTAGTCTGGCAATATTTCATTGATACATTAGGAGAGTAGCATTAGTTTGGGTGGTCGGTAATTAGTTCACAACCATACTGATAATAATTCTGGAAAGAATATATAATTGCACACAGGTTAGGGAAAAAACAGCTTCGAATTTTCAAGGATATTATTAGTTATACTTTCCACTTTATCCCAAATGTAAAACATATCAAAATCGAAAGTAAATGTTAGTTTGAAAGTAAAAACAGAATAAACAAGTAGGTACCTACTGCCACCACATAAAACAGCTACTTGTTATACATACAACACAAATATATATTTTTTTGTTTGGCTAAATAATTAATAGGTTAAGTAAATGGAGTAATTTTCCTGCATGCAACATTTAAACAATACTTATTAAGAGCACTCCCAGTGGTAACTCAACATTCGTTATAATTTGATATACATTTTATCTTTATAGATATTCTATTATGTACAGAGGTAAAGGCTTTTTTATATTGCTTTTAAAATGCATTTTTATTATTTCATGGTTTTGGTTTTTAAAACATAATTTTCCATCACTGGTTGAGAATAAATAAATAGTCGTTCTAATATTATACTAGAAATAAGTCCAATTATTAGTCTATAGGTAGGTATGTGACAAGAAATTATTCGAACAGATATTGATTATACACTAAAATAAAAATAAAAAACCGTCCTAAAGAATAATCAGTCTTCTAAAAAATCACCGATGAATAATGTAAGAGTTAACGTTTTGAAATTAACAGGATATGCTATTAAATAAAAAAAAATCAACTGGCAATCAATGAAAACTCTTGACTGAAAATGCGCCGTAAGGATCTATTTCTCAAAAGAAACGTGCTGGGATCAAATTTCTTTTTTGCTTCCTAGAAATACTTACAAGGGAACATTTTCAACGCAACTAAGAGTTTACAAGATGTTAAGCTATCCATACAACATTAAAACTAGTGATTGGAATATTATTATCTAATCTAGCTACGTTTTGTTTTAGGAGTCGTATGAATAGCATTGCAGTTGATGTTTTTGAATAAGATACCTTCTCCACCAAACTAAACTTACACAAGCTGATCCACGAGCCCGATTATCTCGATCATTTCACCAAGACTATATTGCGATAGTTCCCTAGCTTCGATTTAAGTTGATACGAAAAGCCGAGATAACGAACCGCACCAGTGGCCTGCTCTTAGTTCATAGCAATCTGTGTGCTATGGCGATGTTAAGGAGGGGCGGGGCCGATCTCATACGTCTGCAGATCTTGAGCTGATGCTGGGCGTCCGACTGTGGATCACCACTTTATGTCCATTTCTTTCTACTAAGACTGCTGTTTGACGTGCTTCCATTTCCTCACCATCATCTCCATCTTCGTTGGGCTCACCATCTTCATCTCCAGACTGATCAGTCGCCCCGCGAAGTCTTTTATGTTTTCTCCAAGCATTTTGTATAAGCCTTGCGCAATACTCTTCTCTTTGTCTCCATAATGTCGAACTAACCGGCTCATAACCAAGTTCGCTCGGTTTTGGCTGCACCTCGCTGAGTTCAGCAGTTTCATCGATTGCATTACCTTTACGAGCGAAGAAGTCTTTGGTTAAAGCATCTAGAATATCGACACAAAACATTAAATCTCCTTTGCAGATAGGAATATCCATCGACACTATCTTGTATTTGTTCGGCTTATGAATTTGTAACGGTGGCTCCAATACATCTAGGAAATCGGACAGTTGGTCGTACCGGATGTATTGCGTGCCATCGGGATCAAACTGCTGCCATATTTCGTAGTACATATCATAATCGTCATCTGTTAAACCTTCTTGCACGTCTTCGGTAGCTTGCGAGTAGTTTTCTAAGATGACCGCAATATACATGTTTATTACTATCAAAAACGATATAACTAGGTAGCTTAGAAGAAATGCTATTCCAATAGTCGAGTTGCCGCAGTTTCCAGTCTCTCCTATCTCGTTGTCTGGCTGTTTGCAGTCTTCTTCATTTATTATTCCATCCAAGACACCATCCCACCCTGCTGAAGTGGACATCTGAAATTATAACACTTAGTCAAGTCCCGCATGAGTTACCATAGAATACTCACCTGGAAAAGCAGAATCATGGATTGTCCAAAAGTCTTAAAATTATAGACATCGTCGAGGCCGCTCTTGTCTTTGACGTGCATGAAAAATGACATGCCGAAAATGGCAAAGATGAACATAACCAAGAAGAGCAGCAAACAGATGTTGAAGAGGGCAGGCAGTGACATAGCGAGTGCAAAGAGCAGAGTACGGATTCCTTTTGCTCCTTTCACCAGCCTAAGCACTCTTCCGACTTTCGCTACGCGCACTACCCTGAGCAACGTCGGCGATACAAAATATTTCTCGATAATGTCACTGAGCACTAGTCCCAAAATTGATAAAATTACTACTACTAAATCAAAAAGGTTCCAAGGTTCAGTAAAATAGTGATAACGCAAAGCAAAACACTTCATGAGGCACTCTGTAGTAAATATAACTATAAAAATCATATTCAGATAGTCTAGAACTTTCGTGAACGTCTCTTTTTGTTGATAATGGTCCATAGTCATTGTCAACATATTTAGTCCTATAAACAACATGATTATCATGTCGAACTTCTTATTTGTCACTATTTCAAACACTATCGCTTGGGGTTTCCACTATAAAAAAAATAGAAAAAATGGTTAACGCTGTGTACCAAATTTAACAAAAAGTATTGCCGTGGCTTCATAGAAAAAATGTATAGCACAGAATCTAGTTGTATTATCAATTTTCTTTGACAATTTTTTTACAAAGCCCACGACAAATGAAGGCATGAAGAGTGGAGGTGAAATTGATGAAGTAAGATGTACATAAAGGCATCAGTTTAGATAGCACATTTTTTTCGTTATATAACATTATATAACATTGATTACTACTTGGATGATTGGTAATATGAATGCAAAAATGAAATTCCAGTAGTCGTTCAAAAAAAAAAAAACCCAACAACGACAGGCACAGATTCCCGATTGACAGGAATGAATAAAAGAAAACATTAAGTATTGGAAAATGGAATCGGTTAGTGCTAGTGGAAATGCCACGATGTCTGTGAAGAATGATTTCAACGCGAATGGGTTAAATCACCAGACATGGATAATGGGAATATGCAATTTGTTTGAAGAAAAAGAAGTTCTTAACTGCATAAAAAAGGAGTTTGATGAACGCGGTTATATTCACTTTTAGCCTATGGAGTAGTTTAGAAGATGATGGATGGTACGGTTAATTATGCGAAAAAAGTAAACTAGGGGAATTATCAGTAGTAATAACCCAAGGACATTGATAATTGTTCGAAAAAAATTTTAAACAAATTTCGAAAGTTTGATGCTTGGAAACAGACCGCCGTCGTAGGCGAGTGTCTGTTTTCTATGAACAACAATCTTGAGAAAGTTGTTATGAAATTGTTGAGCATTTGTCAATGTTCAAGACTTGACGATTAGTTAAGCCAAAGCTAAAGTTGAGTACCTATCAAGTCGCGTTCACAGCAAAAAAGCCAGCTTTTGCAACACATCAAAAAGGTGTAAAATGTTATCCATGTGGTTGAAAAGGACACCACCAGAAATATTGCAAAAAATAATTTATGCCTGTAGACTAGAACGAGGGGGGCACAAACAACACGTTAACTAACCAGATTTTTTGATAGAAATCAAGGCAGTTGCAAAGGTTATAGACATGGAGGTTATAGAGGAACAAGTTATGGAGGATATGAAATGTGATGCAATATCTACCATAAGTTGAAGATGTACGTAGAACTGAAAAAGATTTGACTGATAGAAGGGCTAATAATTTATATATAGAAGCAATGTCAAGAAAAATCGATTCGCATCAGGTCACTTTTTGGCCTAAACAAGATCTCAAACTGATTACTGTCTATATTTCGAAAGAGGAAGGGAAAATATAACACATTTATTTATCTGGATTACATTATTTTATGAGATAGCCAATTTCGCTAGAAAGATAAGAAAAATGCCTCAAAACATGCAATATGCCTGTAATATTTAAAAAAATTTACCCTGGGTCTCGGAATGGCCTTCATAGGTTTCTTGGATCCCATTTTCTTCATAGCATTGTAGTACTTTTTCTGATCCTCAGTCATGAACATTTCCAGAGACCCTCCGGCTTAAAATAAGTTTTTTTGTCAGACGTACTAAAATCTCTTTTGAAATAATTACTACTGTATATTGTCAAATTTGAAATACTTATCTTTTTCTTTTGTTCATTGAAGTTATCGATGATTACTCCTATAAACAGGTTAAGGGTAAAGAATGATCCGAATATGATGAAAAATACGAAGTAAAGGTACATGTAGATATTAGTTTCTCTTATTGGTTGTTTGAAAAGCTGAAAAAAAATATTTGAAATTTTCATAATATTTAAATAATTATTTTCACCTCTCTTGAATCAATAGCGTCATTCATAATCTGGATCCATCCTTTGAAAGTTGCCACTTGGAACAAGCAAAGATAAGCTTTGCCCACATGATCAAAATTCATTGGTGAATTATCCCACGTATAATTTTCTGCTTTACAGGCATTGAAATCTGGTATTATTTCCCAGCTGAGGGTCGTTTTGTTGTTATCAACACACTAGAAATATATTATGTGTAAAATGGTTTTGCAAAATTATTCATGTTTACCTTGTAATATTTTCCAGCAAATAGCTGTACACCCATAATAGCAAAAATTAGCCAAAATATCAAGCACACTAGCAATACATTGAAGATAGATGGGATGGCTTGGACCAATGCGTTTACTACCACCTAAAAATTTAAGTTGATCAATACTGGAGCATAACGAACGGAAGTGCCATTTACAATTTTACAATCAAAGATGCCTGGAATATCACTACTGAAAGATACAATAATTGTTTCACGTAGGTACTCTTTTTACGTTGACAAGAAAAAAGCTTTCAAACCTCATGTCAAGATAATTAGTTAAGATGCTTTCGGAAAATAAAACCGTCCATCATACTATGTACCTAGGTAGGTACTCAAACAAATCAAAAGGGTGATTAAAAAACATTGGCAGAACAGTTATTAATTTTCTGTCCTAATTACTTGACATGGATTCTTCAAAAAAATCTTCCGTCATTTGGTCCAATTATTTGTCCTAACATTCAATTGAGTCCTAGGACAGAACTTCCGGTATTCCAATATGAGGAACAATGATGACAAGCTGATCAAGGGCGGTAAAAAATTTTTGTTAATATTTTATTTCAATATTTTCAATAAAATATCGTGGTTGAAGGAATACAGAGGGGTGCATGGGTTTCAACTTATGATTGCAAGGGTTTTTATTCCACAAACTAGGAGATACATTTTAGTGAAAAAGGCCCCTGGTATCGGAGGAATAAGCTGCTTTCAGATTTCAATCTAATTCTAATATAAGTGCTGGGAAACTCACCCTCATACCCTGCATTCTTGACATAGCTCTCAAAGGTCTTAACGCCCTAAGAGTTCTCATGGTTTTGAATGCTTGTATACCACCAGCTCCACATAACGAAGCTATAAAGTTGATAAGTGATACCATTACGATGACAAAGTCGAGCCAGCACCAAGCGTTAGTGAAATATTTCTGGAAACCAAGGGCAAGCCATTTGATTAACATTTCAAAGAAGAATATGACAGTAAATATCCTATCCATATAGTAGAGGATGTCTTGGAGTATAGGTCTTGACGATAAATGAACATCTTCCAAAGCCAGAGCCAAACTGCTTAGGAGAATCATAGTTATCACAGCGGTTTCGAAATATTTGTTTTCGATGAGTTGGAAAGTCTTGTAACGAAGATTGCCCCAGCCTTGCCAGAATGGTGAATCTTCATCACCTGCCAAGAATGGAAATTTCTTGTAGCAAGTTTCTGGAAAACAGTCAGCTGAATATTCGTCTAAGATTATATCTTCTGTCGCAGCATCCATTATAAGATCTTCGTCTAGTGGACCTTGGCAATCACATTCATCTTCTTCCATTTCTAAAAACGAATATTTCGCATAATTACATAATTATGTAGGTATAGGTTGTTTTTTATCCAATAATAATATATGCATTTAAAATTTAGAATGAGTTATGATAAATTTAATTACTTTTTACGGCAACAGTAGATGTTGAGTGTCCCGAATGATGATCCTTGTGGTTCACTATTAAAAACAGTTTTATTGATATTAATTTTCGGTATTTGTTCAATTTAAGAAAGCCGTATAATTGTTTTTCTGTGAAGAAGATTATGGTGTACGAAAGCACTATATTATAGGTGCTAAAGAAGTTGCTGAATTTGTAATTAAATTAAACATAGGTGTTGAAAATATGTGTAAATATTTATGCTTGAGATTTTCGAAAGGTTGAAAGCCATTGCCAATGAATTTTTGCAATTGCAAATTGATTCACATGCAAAAATATATTAAAATGGAAAATACAGCGCGAACAGCAATAACCGACTCACTGAATGAATACAAATCTATTGTTTAAGATCTGCAAAATTTGTGTTTCCATAAAGTTAAATGAGAAAACTTATATTGTAGATATTTATAAATTATACTGAAAAAGTTTAGGAAACAAAACTATCGTAGAGCAGACTATCTATAAAGCTCAATTTATAAACTCGCCGTCGGGATTCCGTTTGCGTCTGCGTTTGCGTCGGCATCGCCGTTACCGTAGTCAAAAAAATTCGAGCATTTATAAACTGTTTGCGTCCTAAAAGTAAACATAACCTAACTTAACCTGTTATTTTTGTTTATGTCAATCTTCTTGTTTTTATTTTTTTCAATTTGTTCGTGCTATCAAGTGCTATATATCGTGCATCTTTATTTTGTAAGTTTTTCTAAAAATTCGGGATATTCAAAAATCAAAATATTCAATAATCAGCTGTGAGACCGACGGCGAATATAAACGATCTTATGGGATTCCTAATATTCAATTGGTAACGGCGTGTTAGACGCAAACGCAAACGGAATATCGACGGCAAGTTTATAAATTGGGCATAAGTTTTGTTTGAGAGCAACACATTAAAAAACCACAGAATTTCGCTTGAATCATTGAAATGGATGCACTGGACACACGATACTGCTTTTGCTTTCTCAAAAGGAATCGAAGAAAAACCGTAGCATATGTGATTGCACTTTTATGGTTAGTTGCCACTGAGAGACACAAACTTTGCAGTTTAATCTGAATTAGGTTCTCTTTATTGCATTTCCAGATGAAAAATATCGTTTTTTTCAGTGGATACGCTCTGATAAGTCGAATTTGAATTATCAAAACTAATTCATTAAATAGTGATGATATTCTCTGACTGAGCCATATCAAGTAACGAGTAGATTTTATACCACTTATTGACTGTTCTTGCGAGTGTGCCTAATTTATATAAAAATTGTAACGTATCTATTTTTTGCCAATTATTTGTTTCAAAAATAAAATTACCTTCTTCTATTCCCAATTCTTCTTTACTAGCATCTCGTTTTTCTTCTTGATCATCCAAAATATCAGCACTACCTTTATGACTTTCTTCTTTAAACCTATTTTTATGACTGCCATAAGACTTATTGCTAATTTCGTCTTCTTCTAGATGTCCAATAAAGTCCCCATGTTCTAGAATGGAATTTCCAATAGTTTTAACTTTGTTGTTAATGTTGTTCATATTTTTTCCTCGTTTAATATTATTTTGTTTTAGGACATCCCCGTGTATCGTGAATTCCATTCCGTCACCTATAGTTACTTCAAGTTTATCCTTCGGACTCTTTTTGTCTTTGAATATCATTCCGTCAGCTATGATGTCGTCACCAGCAATGTCGAGTCCACCATCCCGAGTATCTAAAAAAAGAGAAATTCGCATTCGACTTTACATAATATGAAATTCAATTCAAAAGTTTTAAACTTATTTTTGAAGGTAATAATTATTATTTAAAAAATGTAGAATGTAAATTTCAAATGATATACACTGGAAACTGGACATTCGAAAGGAAATTTCGTAGTCAAAATTCACCTCTGTGTTTCATTTTTCTTAAATAAATTTAGGCAAATATTCTGATCATTCTGAAGTTACAAATTACTTGTTTTTTTTTTTTCAATTTTCTGATAACTCAAGTAGGTGAAATATTTTAAATTTCTTATATTTATGTAGGTATTTCAAGACAACTTTGGACGAAAAAATATTCATCTAATTGCTTTGCTCTTGAATTTATTATAACCTCAAGCACCTTTTTTACGACAAAAATTCTTACATCCAAATTATCTTCCAAATCTTTAAATTTTATTGTTTCTGTTTGAACGATAACTTTGTGCATATCAACTGAGTGTCCAATTTTCAAAGTGTATTAAAATGAATACTTTTTAATTCCATATACGTAATATAATTTCGAACCAATAAGGTATAAATTAACATTGGAATTAAAAATTATAGGTAGGTATACATTATATACCTATCAAATTGTTGGAAAAACACCAATATTTTTTCCTGTACAATTTTTTTACTCCAACAGCCAACAACAAATATTTTAAGAACCAACAGTCTTGTTTGGGTTTTATGCAATAGAGAATATTTGAACATGCTTCAATCCATGATATTTAAAACGGCGAATTTCTAACTATGCAGCTGAGAAACAATACTATTCTATACTTGAAAGCGGGTTTGGAAGTTTAACCTTTGTAAAATGCTTTTATTATTTCTAAATAATGTACAACGAGTTGTAGAAATAATTTTCTTGAATTTAACGATTGATTATTTTAGTATGTGATAAAAACATAAAAAAATTAGATACCTACGATTTTAAGACGTAAAAAAAAATCATATTTCTACTGAGGTCCATACCTACAGAAGAGCATTTCTAATTTTAGCAAACATTCAATCAATCCACAAAATCTGTTCCTCATGGGAGGAAGTTCACCAAAATTCGAAACATAATTAGACTCATGTATTGGACAACGATACCGAGAAAGGCTGCTTTTAGTTCTGGAAACTTTTGCCAGATTTCCCAAGGGCTTTTGAATACGGGAAGCAGCTAGGAATTTCGTATGGAGAAAATCAGATATTTTCAGTTCTTGCGACCTATTTTTCGTTGGGAAAAATTGCATAGAATTGAAGAGAAAATTGAAATAATTCAACAAGAAGAAGCAAATAACTTTATCATTGAAGTTCCGGATGATATCGTGTGAGAAAATATCAATTGAGATGATGCAATAATAAATATAGACCAAGGCTACAGAGAACGAAGAAATGAAAAAACTAGAACTTTAGGAACAAACAGAAAATAGAATAGAACCTACTCTGGGAAATATGATAATATCTAATGGAACTTTGATGAATATTGTGAGATACCTACTTAATAAAAAATAAATAAAACTAAGAAATGATAAAGAAAAAATTTTTTTTTGATACAAGATGAAAATAAAGGTAATGAAGAGATTTATAAGAATTTTAAAAACAACAAAAACACCAATGCCGTGTACCTTCCTCCTTCAAATTCGGCTAATGAAAAATATGTCTACTGGAATCAGCTCACTGTGAAAATTTTGAGAGAATAAATGAAATAGAGAAAAAGGTTAAGTTGGCAATAAAACGTCTACCAGGTCTAGAGAGAAAAATTTCAAATGTCTGCTCGTTAAAAGAAATAGAAAGAATATAAGTAATAGGTAATTTTAGTGTGTTGGACACTGAAATTATATAACAGACTATTAAACTTGTAAAAATAGTAATAGGTGACATAAAAATAAAAAAAATAGAAAAAAAAACTCTGATCTCTAAGCAGATTCTCTTGTTGAGGTCTTTATTTCAATATGGCTCTCCAATTATATCCTAGATGTGAAATAGGTAGAGTCATTCACCTTATGAACAACTTAAGGATATGGGTACCTGCGGAATATTTGAATGCAGCAAACAGTGCGCGGATTTCATAATTTAGAATGTATATTAGAAAAGTGTTCCGAATATGGGCAAATTCTATTTTGCATGCGACTATAACGATGTAAGGTAAAAAGGCCATTTTGATGATAATAAACCTAATTTCTGGTTATAAATCCGGGAAAGCTCATCCTCCCATTGCCAATAAAAATGTTGTCAATACAACAAATCGTATTTCATGAATGAATGCTCCTTCTATATGTGGTGACAAAATCCGCAATTTACAACTTGTTATTCGCATTTCTAGTCAGATTTTAAAACGACTTTCACTTTTTTTAGAAAACATTTCTCAATGCACGTCAAATATACGAGTTATTTCTCAAACAATTAGCAAAAAGCATGCTCTACTATTTGTATTCTAACATTGATTTTTTCATGGTGTTTTACACGCATGTAAATTTCTTCCTTATAAATAGAGGATAAAGTATTATATTACTGTTTTTTTTTTTATATATACCGTCGAACGGGGTTAAGTGAATCTGTATGGGTAAAGTGAATCACCTGTACAGGTTCTCAAATTTTAATGCGTAGACTCCATATTTTTGAGCTCTATTCGGTGTTGGCATGATATTCGTACGTAACTTTTACTTACCTACTGTTGCTGGTGAGGTGGTATGCCGATGGTTTCAAAAACATGTGAACCAGGATGAACGTATTTTTAAATGCACGTTTTTTTGTAATATGGGTATAAGTCGAAAAGGTTTAGTTGTAGGAGCAGAGGGGTAGGTTTTCTAGATATATGAATGATAAGAAGTGTAACCTAGTCATGTAGGCAACATATTCCCGGAGGATTTTTCGATTTTACTTATATGGTCACCTAAATATGATTTTTTGAACCTGAAATGAACACAACAGGAAGTAAAATGAATCGGCTGCAAAATTAAACAAAAATAAACAAAAATGAACCCGAGAGTAAATTGATATTAATTTTTATCGGGAATTTGAAATGAATGTGTTTGAGAGGCTACAGCAAAAACTACCCCTATTTCTTCCTCATCCTAAATAACTGTTCAGAGCTGTATTTTCTTTAGAATGCCTAAAATCACAAAAAAAAAACTTAGAGCCTCACTCCTCAGGGCAACGCTCAGAAGCTTTGCGCATATCCATGCGCAAAACTTCTGAGCAATATGATGTGCCGTTAAGCACCATTCAGGGTCGATTTCACCAAATCCACTTTTTGAAATATGGTCGTCAACCTGTGCTAAATGGGGAACAAAGGAGCTCGCATCAAGGACTATTTTGAACTTTGCTTTTGATATGCGCACGATCGGTGTTTCCACTAAAATAAAATGATATCAGGGGAATTGATTCGAAGAAAATTTTCCAGAACGCGACTGGTTTAAAACATTAATGAAACGACATTTTATTTAACTGTTAAAAAAGCTGAGAATATCAAGCGGGTCTGAGCTGAGTTAAGCTATGAATGATACAGTAAAATTTCCAAAACCTGGCGCAAAACTTCTTTAAACCTTATGAATTGATTCACTTTACGCAATATTAGTCTAAAATGAATAGATCGCAAGTTTGAACGGGCGATTTACTTTACCCCACAGTGGTGAGTAAAGTGAATCAACCTTTGACCCAAAAAAAAAGGGGGGGGGGGGGGTTCCACACTCGAAAAGGGCCAATATGTTGTTGAATCCTTTGGAAAGGGTGCCAAAATATACATTATTTTCTGCATATCTTTTGTTTCCAAAGCTACAAAGTTATCAACAAAAAACCGCAATTTTTGATTCACTTAATCCCGTTTGACGGTATATATATTGTGTTTTTAAAAGTGTTAATTTGTTTTACATACTATCTACAATAAATTAGACGATACATTTGAGCATGCTTAACGACAAGGTTTCTTGAAAGCTTGTTTAGAAGCACTACTACAATTTGTTGGCAGAAAAGCAAAGGTATCAGCGAGCTATCAGATTGTTGGATAAAAACCTTGGTTCCAACTGTTGGACGGGCCCTCACCTGGAGGCTGGTCGGAAATTTGGTTCGTCAGTTTAAACCTCACTAGTTTCGCAAACTGCATGCAGTTCGACTTGATCCAATTGATGAATCGGCCTATTCTGTCAAACGCTTCAGCTATTTTGTTGGTATCGTTATCTGCTGTAGGCGCTGAGAGACTTGATGAACCGAAGTTACTCAAAAGCAAGGCTAAGAAAAGGTTAAGCACCTAAAAAATATTTAAATGTAGCTTTATTATATTTTTATAATTGAGAACGTACCACAAGATTGCCAATGACAACAGTAGCCAAAAAGAATGGGATACAAGAAACGTCACCTACAAGCATACAGTCCCACATGGATTCGATCCATTCTCCGCACAATACTCTGAATACAATCATAAACGAATGCATAAAGTCTGTAAAATTCCATCGAGGCATCGAATGATCTGGAAATCTGTCCACATTATCCCAATAGTTCTTTCCAAAAAGTTGCATTCCCATTACGGCAAATATGAAAATAATAATACACAACACAAATGTCAGGTTACCCAAGGCACCCATGGTTCTGCCCATAATAGATATAAGCAAGTTCAAAGTGGGCCAGGATTTCGCCAATTTGAAAACTCGCAACTAGAAATGAAAATTTAGTTCGGAAATCTTAACAAGCAAATTTCTTACCAGTCTAAACGAGCGCAATACTGATAGTCCTTGAACTCCTTCTAGACCCAACTCTAGTAGGGATAAAGCTACTATTATGAAATCAAAAATATTCCATCCCTCCTGGAAATAGTATTTTGGGCTCATTGCTATAAGTTTGCAAGTAGCTTCAATCATGAACGTTGCTGTGAAGAACTATAAAAACAGTTACCATTATTTCAATCAATAATTGTAAAAAATATTTAATGTACTTACATAGTTCCCACTTTTCAAAGCTCTTTCCAAATCTGGATCCATATTGTGGTGATCCAATGCCATAAATAGCGTGTTAACAACAATACAAAGTGTGATAAAAAGCTCAACAAAAGGATCAAATACCAGTAGAGCAACATATTTCTGAATCTGCAACCAGCACCAACAACAATCCCAGACACAAAACATGTCAATAATTTTAATGGCATTCTCCAGGAATTTTTCTTTGAACGTTGGTTCATCTTCCTCCTCTTCTTCCTCATTATTGGCTGAGAAATAATAAACAGCAACTGTATAAAAGATAAGTAAACGTGAGGTTGACACACTCTTTGATGGGGAAAGAGATTTTGGTGCAGAATTGCGATAGTGCGACAACTAAATAGTTCTTAACCGATTCGTTGGTTGTTGGTTTACGTCGTATTGGGTTTTGTTGTTTTGTCGCTTTCTAAGCATTATTTTGTTATATTCCTTGTATTTTTTTGTGACTATAAACTAAAATATTTTTGATATCCGACTGATTATCGATCTCGGAGTTGATCCGAGTCCATTAAAAAAAAATAGAGTATATTAATAATTATTCCAGGAAGAAAGAATTTGTTTTAATATAGGTATCTAGTTTTTGGAAATGCTTCAATAGATAACTGTATGCTCTATGAGACACATTCATCTGCCTTCACCTAGTTGAAAGGCTTTATAGGCAACAAGCCGTCAAAAAATTTAAAATAGTTCAAATGCTTTAATTGTCCCAGAGGGGTAAATCCGATCAGTCTTAGTAAGTGTTAATAAACAAATCAAATCTGCTTCCTTCGAAAACTACACTCAAATATGATTTCTATAGAGTTTGCCTATTTATATCTGATGAATTTGTTTAGTTATTTTGTGACCAGTAGGTACCTACTGCCTACTGGAAATTGCAAAAATTGCTGATGGTAATGTATAAAGTTTAGAGCATTTCAATTTCCATGTTATCAATGTTTTATTTCAGTTACTAAGGTCAAGTTGAAACCCAATAGCTTTCATTTGTTTACAATCTAACAGACCACGAGTAATAAAGCTTTATTTATAGGCGTCAAAGAACTTGGTTCTAATTATTGAAGTTTTGAAGTCCTACTAATACTGAGCGTCTCCTCATTTTTTTAAATCCGTAGTTTTTGATTGGAAACTTAATAGCTGAAGTTAGACTGAATAAATGTTCAAACTTCATCTTTACCAGACAAATAAACTGTTGTCATAATATTTGCGTTAATTTGTTTTTTTGTTGGTAAATTAATTATAGTTAATGAGAAAATTTTGGATTGATTTTCTCTGCTTTTCCATCCATAGACGCGTTTCGACCTATCAGGTCTCATCAGCATGGCTATCCTTTCCTAAAATCCAAAATTTTCTCATCAGTGGATAATAGGTTTTCCTATTCTGGGTTTTCCCACGAACTGAATTTTGGTCGGCCGATTAGATAGTCAATCACTAAATTACAGCAAAAATTGCTGTTTAGTGTTGAATCTTTGTCTTAGATGGCGCCACGATCAAATTTCGACCGTCGTATTATAGTTAATGTTCGAATGTATTTCTTTAAACCGTTTGAAATAATTACATTTCCTGCGAAATGATGTGAAAATGAGCTATGTAGCTTTTATGAAAGGATATTGCAAATTCGTTAATTATAATTGCTTATTAGGTATAACTCAGATCATAATGAGCCAATAGGTACTTGAAGGAAGGATTCTAAGATATACTGCGTGACTCAGAGGAAATTTTGAACGCGCCCTGTATATCCAACTTAATATTTGTGGGACGGTTGCCGCTAGCAATTTACAGCGATTGCGTGCGGATTATCAGTGAACATGGAGCAGTGGTCGAACGAACAAGGCGCGTTTATGGTCGAGGCATTTTTTTGAATCGAACAATTCCTGTCGCGGCAGGGCGACGTTTTTGTTACCGTTACAATATTCGGCGTATACGTGATGCTCCGTAAAAAAAACTTATTGAAATCCTGGGTTCAAAGATTCAGAAAAAGTGGAACAGTTGCAAATCAGAAGCGTCTCGGTCAACAGAAGTCCATCCGAACGCCAAAGAATATTGAGATTGTGCGACGTGCTGCGACTGAAAATCCGAGGCGCTCAATTCGAAAACATGGCCAAGACGCTTCTGATTTGCTACTGTACCACTTTGAATCTTTGAACCCACGATTTCAATAAATTTTTTGACGAAGCAATACGTATACGTCGTATGACAATTACAAAAACGTCGCCGTGCCGCAACAAAGGAATCGTTCGATTTAAAAAACGCCTCGACCATAAACGCGCGTTGCCTGTTTGACCACTGCTCCATGTTTACCGATAATCCGCGTGCAGTCGCCGCAAATTTCTAGCGCTGATATCCCCCACAAATGTCAAGTTGGATGTAGGGAGCGTTCGGATAGGGAAATTTATTCAGAGTTGAAAAAACTGATTTCCAATGCGGCGCATTTCTGAGCATATTGAAATTTGAAGAATGTATCCTTCAATTAATGTTCCCCACCTCGTCGTAACCTCTAAAGTTTTGCGTAGGTTAACATTGAAGTTTATATTATCTGTTATAATTTGGCAGGAAAAATTTGCCTTTGAAATTTAATTATTGCTGCTATGAAACCTCTTATTTGGACAACACCAATATATTTCTTCTCTTGATAAAAATAATATTTTAGTTAGACATTTCTTGCTTCAAGGAGTATAACAAAATAATAAAAAAGTTGAGGTAAGTAGAAAATAATACCTATAAGTAGAAGGAAAACCACCATCGAAATTGCTAAATTTACTTGTTATCTTTGCACACACAGTACAAATAGGTACACTATATTTTCTGCACATCGATAATATAAAACTTTAAGTTGAAGCTGTTTACTTTTAAGTTGATTAAACAATCCTATTTAGAAAGTCTCTTTCATAGCTTTAACTTAAAGTGTAGTTTTCACTTGTTGCAATTTTTGAATAAGTAATTCAAAGCCGTGAACAATTTTACCTAATCCGAGAATTTGCATCAATTACATATCAAATACAAGTATTGCAGGATAACAATTCATTATTAAGTTATTACCTACTGACTACCTTATAAGTACGACCAATTCGGTGTTTCTCTAGCATTGCTAATCATTAAATTACCTACCATTACCTAATGTGTATCAAAATGGAATGATTGGATTCTAGTTATACCTATTCTAACAAATAAAATGATTAGGGTAGGTATTACAAAACTTTTCTGACAAATAACTAAAAGTTAACTTCTGGAATGATTTAATATATGTTAACTTTTAGTTATTTGTCAAAATAATTTTTTAATTCCCGCCCAAGTGGTCAAAACTTGAACAGAGTAGGTACATCAAGATAATGGTTTGTTTTTCAAATATAAATAAAGCTAAACTGGGTTAAATACTGTGCTATATAAATTAATATAATCTACTTGAATTTTTGGTAATGTGGGAATAATGTAGACCAATAAATAGTTTAATTTTGGTTAGGGGTATAACTTGTTCTAGTGAACTAATAATAAAATTAAATATTTCATCAAAGCTTTATATATATTGTTGCAAAAATCAATCCAGGTAGGTATTTTATTTCGGCGTCTTCGGACCCGGTCCTGGAATACCCCACTTGTTCTTCTTTTAGATAAAACGATCAATGACTTTAGGCGATATCGGGTGTGGTTAAAACTTGAATGCAGTGGCGTATTTAGGAGATTCCAAATGCCGCATATTTTGTAAAAGAAGGCAAACATTGTCCTATAAAGTACAAATTAGTTTGGAACGGAAGAGAAGAAACAGGGGAACTCCTAGAATTTTTACTGCCGCGCGTCCTCATAATCCATTACAGAGCTTCAAATAAAATTTCAGTTCATTAGGACACAAGGTAATTTAAACAATTCCAAAATGTTTTTTGAATTTAGATATTTTTGTCTAACATCACGATACATTTATAGAGGGCTTGATGTGTGGTTCTACTCATTTACTGGTCCATCCAGAGTGAATCATCCATCTTTTTTGAAATTTTAATCACTATTAAAAAAAAATCGTTATTTTTCAGGCTTCAGGGCAATAATTATTGTAAAGCGCAATAAAAGCACCCTAAAAATTTCATTAAGCTCTGTTATATGAAGCTTCTAAAAAAATATTGATTTTACTTTGTTCGTTGTTATTTGTGCTGCAGTTTGTTAGCGAATAATTAACCAAGCATTTATTCTATTTGAAAAATTTGTTAAGTTATTTTGAAGTGAGTATGAGGAATTTTTTATTTATGTATAAAAAAATCGGAGTTCTGCAGTTCTAACTGAAAATCTGATTGATTGCATAACACTACCATGCTATCCTAAAATATGAAAATTAATCTTCACCAGAACAAGTTATAGCCGCTAAGTGCACAATTTTTCGGACACAATAATGAGTTCTACCAAATAAACGCCAAATACCTATTTACCCGATTCTACAAATGGCTTTTCTCTATCATAAAAACCCTAACTAATGTGCTCTATAACATTTATATTTTGTGCTGGACATCAAACTGAAATTATTTTATTTACCTAATTAATCAAAGGGTTCTTGTTATTTAATCCTCCGAATGTTTTCAATGTAAAATTATGTTAATTAGTTCTATAGCAACAAAATTTGGATATTGGATGCTTGTGTTGCTATTTGTGTATTTATTGAAAGCAAATTGCGATGGTGAGTTTTAATTTTTGTGGACCTATGATTTAAATTTTTGTGATTATGAACTATTATCGAACTTACCGCCATGTTCTTCTACTATTTCTCTACCAGCTGCTTGCTCGATTATGTCGTTAAGAACCATAACGTCTATAAAAAATGTTTTGAGGTTGAGTCCTAAACTCTATAACGTATCTGATATAAGTGGATCCTTGAAAGATATTTGATACCTAATATTTTATACGACTTGAATTTACTTGAAAATAATTATTGTTGAGTGAAAAAATGTAAAATGTAAAATCAATGTATTGGCTACTTAAGTATATATTGCTCTAGTATATTAGAAGTACAATATTTTTTTTTGACATACAAATTAGGTGTTCACATAATATTTTTTTTCAAATGTTTATATATTTTTTTACAAATATGTCATAAGAATAACCAGATTTTGAGTGTATGATGAAAAAACTTTTAATAGGGAGTTTACCTTTCATATCAACAACAGTTTGTTTCTGACTTATGTTGTCAATAAATGGATTGTCAAGAGCCTTCACTTTCTCACTTAGTTGACTAGTTGGTCCATCCTTTGAAAAAAAAAAGAAAAGTGAAATGGAATTTGCACCAAATCGACTCAAACAAAAATCAGATAGAGCTACTTACATAATCTCCCATTTTGGGTTTACGCGGATATTCCATAAAATTATTTGTATTCAACGCTGGTCCATTTCTCAATGATCGATGCATCAGCTGGAACTCTTTCGTCATGGCAGCTTTGCCGTTGCCCCCAAAACCGCCCAAAAGGTCTGCGTGAGAGGTGTAGGACATCCGTGAAGCGTGCGAAGTGTACGATGAGTGACGTGATCCTATGTGGGAGTCAACAATTAAAAAAAAAAACTTCAGAACATTGATGCGAGGAAAATCCAGATTACGATCACAAACTTAGAGAACACGAGTGGATAGTTCAGAAGTAGACACCAGCGTAGATAGGGGGGGAGGGGTACTGGGGGACAGTACCCTCCCCTCCCTGAGAGAGTGGAAATCATAGAAATCACAAACGAGGTCTGTTCGCACAGAAATCACCAACCAGAGTGAATTTTATTGGTTGAAACTAGTTTTCTAACTGTTTCTAAGTGTTTTCAATCAATGAAATTCGCTGTGACTGGTTCGTGATTGCTGTGCGAACAGCCCTAAAGTTTCCTTGATTTTGATTTATTAATTGCCATTTTTTATAAATCTAGAAATGCTCGATGAAAAACTGTAAATATAGGTTACAATATTGACTGTAAGAGTTCTTAACAAATAAATAAGTATAATAATTTACTTTAAAAAAAAAATCTTTTACTAAACAATACAAACACTGGCAAAATTGCAGAGTGGCTGATTTTTTTTGTCTCTGATGTGTTATAATAGGTTCCCCCTCCTAGGAAAAAATCCTTTCTACGCGGTTGGAAGTAGGTACAGGGTATGTTCCTTATAATTAGTCTGGCTTCTACAACTTGAACAAAAAAAAATACAAAAAAATTTTGAACATAAAAGTTGTAGGGTTTTACCTCTATTATGTTTTGCACATGTCAAAACTGGCAAATGACAGGCATCAACTGTCATAATGACAAACACTTACATTTTTTAAATAGAACACCTTATGTATATTTTTGTCTAGAATGATTGAATTGTTTCTTCTGATGCCAAATATACCATATGTGTATGTTGATATTTGGTTCAGCTGTTTTTGCGCTAACTAAGTTCAAAATTGCATTAAGTAATCCTCACCATTGATGTAAGGAACCGGAAACAGACCTAATTTAGGTTAATGTCAATGCATTTTTAAACTTAAATAACGTAGAAACAGCTGAACCAAATATCAACATATTATGGTAGGTATACCTATTTGAAATCAAAAGAAAAAAAACAATCATTCTAGCCAAAAATATACAGAGTGTTCTATTTAAAAAAATGCATGTGTTTGTCATCATGACAGTTGCCACCGGCATTTGCCCGTTTTGACATTGACATGTGCAAAAGATAATAGAGGTAAAACCCTATATGTATGTAATGATGAATTTCAGTGGGAAATAACTTGGAGCTGAATATTCGTTTATGCTTTCATAACTTCTTAATGATAATAATTCCCTGACAATCAACAACTGAAAACAAAAACTATAGCAACTCCTAAGCAACTCTGATACCTTTTAGCAAGGTGAAAAGGTAGGTATATGAAGGTTATAGAGGTAAATCTAACCCAACACTTTTGTATTTAATATTTTCTTGTTTAAGTTCTAGAAGCCGCACTAATTATAAGGAACATACCCTGTACATTTAATTGCAAAATGAGTATCGATGGCCAAGGGCACGATGAGCAAAATAATTAACGCAGGAGGTCGATGGGCAATAAAAGGACGTTTACATCAGAGAATTTGATTATAATTGTCATATGTATTATGAAAAAAACAAACAAAAATTTTTTTCGAAAAATGTTCACGTACCTACGTTAATTCTTTTACTAAGTACAAAAAAGTTATTTTTTAATTTATAAATATTTTAGAAGATATAGTAACATAATATAACATAAAAAAAAAATTTCAATGACTGGAAAATGCTCAATTTATTTTTGTATGAAACTATTTTACAATGAACCGAGATTTTGATATTGTTGGGTGCCTTTCGCCTCCTTCTTCAGGGCTTGCGGTGCAAGTTTACGATTTAAATTTTTTGATCTTTCAACAACAACTACCTACCTAATTTCTATCAAAAAACTTAAATTTACCATCATTTACATTGTTATATAAAGGACCTCGCACACCTTATATGGGATTTCAGCGATCGGTCGATTTTTTCCAAATTTTGATATGTTGTAGAGGATTTAATTCTTCACAACCTTTAAATGAGGCGAAATCATGTAGGTATTACGGTTTTTGAGATATGAGCGTTGAAAGATGGACTTTTTCGCGACTTTTTGTGTGGAGAGTATACGAAATACTGGTGTTCCTGGTGTTTATCAGTCAAAATATTGACAGGTTCACATAATTTACGTCACTAAATTAATGCCAACATAGGCTAAGGCCGGGACCGCACTGGGGTCAATGTAAGCGCCAGTGCGGTCCCGGCCTTACCCATGTTGACATTTGTTCATGACGTAAAATATGTGATAAACACCAGTATTTCATATACTCTTCATACAAAAAGTCGCAAAAAAGTTCATCTTTCAACGCTCATATCTCAAAGACCGTACTACCTACAAGATTTCGTCCCATTTAAAGATTGTTAAGAAATAAATCCTCTACAACATATCAAAATTTGAAAAAAATCGACCGATCGCCGAAATCCCATATAAAGTGTGCGAGGTCCTTTATACATGAAATTTATACTGAATATTTTATTGATGATAGGAAATATGAACAAGCTTAAATCCTAAACTCCCCACAACCCCTGAAAAATGAGCAAAAAGCTTCGCAAGCTCGGTTCGTTGTGAAAGAGTTTCGTACAAAAAAAAAGACCGTTTCCCAGATATTGGAAAAATATCAATTATCTATCATAAATACGTTTATGCATATTATGGCATTTAAAAAAGGTCGGTGTCACTAACACTACTATTGTCATTAAGTTGAATGCGTATGCTCGATTGGCTTTGTGTATTCGTCGAATAATAATAGGAGTCGTCTACCTTTCGCACATGTTTCACACTGTTCGCCCAGCTACCTACCTTTTAGCTTTTTCATCTCTTCTTGAATTAGATTCAAAACAGTTGCATTCAACCTGGGGCATGTGTTAATTCGTTGCACTCCCGATTTCAATTGATGCCACATTTGCTCAATGAGATTGAAAATACAATAATATGGCAGAAGTCTTGATACTGTATGCCCCAAACTTGCTGCTAAATTGTCACAATATCGAATACGGTTCTGAACGGGACTGTCATAAATTATTTTTCCCTTTGCTTTCTCCACTATAAGGGTTATGAGCACGTGGCGGAACAAAGAAGTAGGTGATTTTTTGAATTTTATGGCTTTTGCTAGATCGCTGAACAGACTTTACCTATTCATGTAGCTCTTAAAAAGGTTTTCCAGTTTCTTCAAATTTAAAAGGCGTTAGGTATGAGTCTAAGATTATTTTTGATCTCAATGATTTTGTTCCTATTTCCACTGCTAAATGCTAGATTGCTATTTGCTAGTTTTTGGAGATGTATTTAGAGAAGGTGATAAAGGTTGAAATAGTAAGTCAGAAGTAAAACCATCATCAGTCTTTTCCGCGTTTAATTCGTATCATCATCATGGGCGATCCCTCGATACCAAGTATGATCATCTTCTATTCTATTCATATTGTCGTCGATTGTGCATTTTCTCATAGCTATATAAACCAATTCTGGAGCCGCACACTCTTCCACCGTCTTGGCACACCCAGCCTCTGGCAGCATTGTCTCTTCCGCTGTTCTCTCGCTCCTTCCTTAGGTCCATCTTTTTGATCTCGTGTCTGCGTCGCTGTTAGTCAAAAGTTTGTGGTCCGTCGTGGACTTCTCGTCGCCATGAGGGCCTATTATTTGCCGTCGTCTCCCAGTAGCTGTTATTGATGTAGCACTCTACCATATTTTTCCTAAGAACATCCTTGTAGCGTTTTTGTTGACCTCCCTGATTTCGATTTCCCTCTCTCCGTTGACTGTAGAGAATCTGTCGTGGAAGACGTGTTTCGGGCATGCGGACGAGGTGACTTGTCCAGCGAAGTTGGTGCTTATTGATTAGGGGGTTCCATGCTAGTTGTTCTGGCCTCCTCTAAACACTTATGTTTGTTCGTCGGTCCTGTCATTTGATCCGTACGGTGGTTCTTAGGCAGCGTTAGGGGTATTGTTCTGGGCTATTTATGTGTCTTATGTAGGTGGTCCATGTTGAGCAGCCAAATGCAAGTGTTGGTATTACAACTGCATTGTAGACGCGAAGTTTGGTCTCAGCGCTGATGTCGTGATTGTTGAAGACTTGCTCTAGAAGTCGCCTGAGCGCTGTGCTAGCACCCTCCAAGCGATGTTGGATTTCAGTATCAATGGTTGCATTCGGTGACAGATGACTCTCAAGGTATGGATAGTGTATGCCTGGTTGAATGCATTGATAATTGCCTGAAGATCTTCCTCCGTATTGGCCATCACGACGTTATCATCCGCGTATTGAAGTTCAAATATCGATGTCCTCGATACTTTCGTCTTGGCTCGTAATCTGTTTAGGATGAATAAGCCGCCATCAAGTCTGGACACATTTGATTCGTATACCTACGCATAGCAGGAAATTTTAATTCAAATGGCCAAACTGAGAAGGATTTTTTTTTGGGAATAAATGAATCAAATCTCATCAGAAAGACGCAACCAAAATACGGAATAAACTCTACAAATTAGCATAAGCATAAAACTTTATCTCCTGATGGAAATAAAATTTTTCGACTACTTCTACTATATATTTTGTTTCAAATTCAATTGGGATTAAGTATTATTATTATTCTCTTTTTCTCCTTCTCGTACATCATTGTAGTCATTTATTTGATGTTCTTTATAGTTTCTCACGTTTTCTACTCGATAGTCAATCGTTTTTAGTTTATTTGGATCGTTTGGATTATTTTGATGGAACCTTTGTCGATTAGCGATATTTAACGGTGGTCGAAAAATGCCAAAAATATGTCATTTTGGCTATGAATTAAATTAATGTATAATAGACCAGGAGATTTTGGAGATTTTTCTTGTACATACTACTTTTTTTTGACTGTATATAAAGACCGGGCCAACCTACTAGACACATAGGGAGTAAGTAATAAGACGAATTAGCTTGTGACCGGTTAAGGCCGATCGAGGCGATATTGCGGAAGCCGAGTATAGCCGAGCTGCCGAAGG